ATAAAATATCTCTCTTTTTATTATCAATGCCTCTACAGGTAATCCAGTCTGTTGGCATGTCTTCCTTAAGTATATAAATTGGAGAAATTATCCCTGTCGAAGTTCTTAAGAGGTTTACTAAGTCTTTGGTCTGGAGATCACTGCTTATCTTTCCTTTTAAATATATATTCTCTGTAGGCCAAGGCCACGATGTAAGGGAGGAAACTGCACCCTCCACTTTGTTCCATGCAAGTATGAAGAGTTTCTATTCCGAGGGTTAGTCTTTAGTTCTCACAGGATTTTCCATAAAGGTTTGCAAACTTGTAATATCTCTCTTGTTCTGTAAAGATTGTGTGATCCTTGACCTTTCTATTTTGGCCCACATGGTATCTCCTGATATAAGCTTTATCCAGGTTGTAATTATTCTGGCCTCCAACATATTCCCTACTATTGGAGCCTGTAGACCGCCTTTTTCGTAGGGAAGCTAGTAGGTCAAATATCTTGGGAGCCACCTGGAGTTACCCTTGATCCATAGAGCTATTAGATGGTTTATTTCTGATATTTGTTTTTTCTTCGGAAGGAGAATATAGGCTGTATACCAGATGTGAGAAAGTATTAGTAATTTCACAATTAGAATCCTTCCTTTGAAGGAAAGATTTCTTGCTGCAAGTTTGGAAAGTGTGTTTTTAAGTTTGGTAATAGTAGATACATATAAGTCCTTTTTTGGTTGCCCTTTTGCATCGATTTTATAGCCTAGTAACTTGAATGTATCAGGTTCTTCTATGACTTTGAAATCAATTATGTCCGGGAGGTTTGCTCTCCTTGCCATAATTGTTAGTGGAACAATTTTTGTTTTTTGGTTATTAATTCTTGCGGAAGAGGCTCTTTCGTATAGGTCAAACAGTCTGTGTATCTCCAGCCAATCTGATGAACTCCCAACTCCTATTGTAAGATCATCTGCATATGCTATAGATTTGAATGTTTAGTCATAAGAGGGTATACCTTGAATGTCTCTATCAATAGTCTGAAGTAAGGGCTCGAAGGCCAGTATATATAGTAATGGTGAGAGGGGTCCCCTTGTCTAACCCCTCTTCCAACTCTGATTCAAATATATGGGCCTCTTGATTGGCAAAGAGATTTCCAACTAAATTTCTAAATTTCAGATTAAAGTTTATCTTTTTGAGCACTAGTTGAAGAAAGGTATGATCCACACGATCGAAAGCTTTTTGTTTGTCTACTAAGAGCAGCCAATATTGCCTAGTGAGATCAGTTTGATTCCTCATCACTGTAATCGTATTCAGTGCTGCATTTGTGATTGACCTCTTTGAGACAAAACCTTGTTAATGTGCCAAAATTATCAAGTTACAGACTCTATTTAACCTATTAGCTATAATTTTCATAAAGATCTTAGCATCACAATTCACTAGAGAGATAGGTCTCCAGTTATCTATGTTATTTAAATCTGTTGATTTCTTTGGTATAAGAGTAACTAAGTTTTTGTGCCATGAATTAGGTAATAACCCTGAGTTGAGGACCTGGTTAAAAATTGTCTCTAAGACTGGAACTATATCGTTTTCAGTTTGTTTGTAAAACTCATATGTGAGACCGTCTAACCCTGGAGATTTGTTGTTTGGGAGTTTCCTGATAACCTCGGTTATTTCTTCTTTTGTGATCTCTTGGGAAAGCTCTTCATTCTCTGCAGAAGGAATGATAGGAAGGTCATTTGTCAGAGTTGTTGCTGCATCTAAGTCGATCTCCTCCTCCTTGTAGAGCTTTGCATATTGTTCTTTAATGTACTGTAAAATTTGCTCTTTGTTAGACTGAGATGGGTTCTCTTGATTCTTGATGTCCTTAAGTGCGGAAGAGTTTGTGCGAGATTTGAACCTTGAGAAGAAGTATCTCATTGACTTTTCCCCCTGCTCAACCCAGCTTGCCTTGGAGCGTATTTGCCATCTATCTGCTAATTGTAACAGTTCTTCCTGGATTTGAATATTTAATTCATTGACCATAGCGTGTAAGTGCATTTGACTAGAGTCCTTCGCTAGTGTCTCTTTTGATTTAGTTATTTTTCTGTTTAATAGGGCTAAACTGCTCTCAGAGGCTCTGGGTTTCCTAAAGGCCCTTATGATTGATTGAATACAAACTTTGTGCCAATCCCAGTCTGTAGCAGAATTAAATGATTTAATTTCTGCTATAACCTCCTTTTCTATAAGTTTATTTTTAAAACACTGTTTCTCAA